TGGAAAAATATTTTTCTACAAATTACTTTATATGGTAACTTTAGCACACCCAGTATCCCTAGGGCAACTTAAAGTATATCACACCCTGTTGTTCTGTGGCAGAAGACTGAAAGTTTAATAAACTGTTCAAGAAGGCTCCCTGAAAGAAGCTGAATCTGAGCTGCTTCTGGGGAATAGGATGGTGTGTTCGTTGTACCACATGGTCATTGGGAATGAAATGATAACTGAAAAGCTAATGTTGTCTCCTCACGTATTTCAAAGAAGCTTGATCCGGCATAGGCAATAATAACATAGCTTGTTCTTCTGGCACAGTGGATGTTGCATTGTTTTCTTTTGTATTAAATAAACTTCACTAGTTTGTGCGATTACTTTAAAAGTACGATAGCAAATAATTTCTTAGAATTTTCCAGCCTGAGAAGTCCTGAGTTGCTGTAAGCTGCCAAAATACTGTATTACTGGATTCATACCTGAAATAAAGCTCATCTCCAACACTCCCAGAGCTATGCTACCCAATGTTTTAGGCCAAGCATTGAGGAATATGTTAAGTTAATCAACTTAAGTAATTAGGAATGTATTTACTTAAATTAAAATTGACTTAGGATACCTAAGCTTGCCAAAAAATCGGAATGATTACAGTAGATTGTTTCTCTATTTTCCTTAGCATCTTATGTGTAACCATAAGGTTTTCCATTGATGACTGGCTGCCATCTGGTAGTAAGCCAGTTCGGGAAAACTAAAGCGAACCTAACAGCTGCATGAAAAATACCACTGAGAGAAGTTAAGGAGAACTTATCTCTTGGAGCATGTGTCCTTTTGATAGTCCAGTAACGTTAATCACTAAATCATGCCTTGGAGTTTGAATGATCAACATGCTTTGTTTACAATATCTCTTCTTGTATTTTTCAGAGCTCTGCTAGCTGGTGGAGGCTTTTCCACATGGACTTATCGGCAAGGCTATGATGTCAGTATTCCTGTGTACAGCCCGTTGTCTGGGGAAGTGGATCTGCCGGAAAGAGGACCAGGGTAAAGCAATTCCAGTGAATTGAGCAAAGTATATTGCATATTATGTTTAATATGGATTCTGCTAAACTATAAAGTTAGCTGGTAACTTGTTGATAGGCTTGGGCAATTTGGTAAGCGTTGCTGTGCATGTGCATAGGGCTTGCTGTTAAAATATGAGTCTTCCAGTGCTAGTGGCTGACTGGCTGGTCTGCCAAGCCGATTTATCTGTAAACTGATGGTTTTTAATAATGGTTCTCTGTTTGTCCTGCTCCAGAAACTGAAGTGTGGAACGTGGTAGCTTGCAGTGTTTCTAGTACAATTAGATTAAGATTGGTTCTAAATCCAGTATCTCTTGGCAGCTCACTGAAAATAAGTAAAAATAATCATTAATTTGAATTTTTTAGGTGGCGAATAAATGAAAGCAGTAATTCAAAGCAATAAAGCAAAATATCTTCAAGCAAAATTTATTGTAGGATGTTTAAAAGCAAAGTAATGGCAAAAGATCACAATTGCAATGATCAAAGAAGCACATTGTGCCTCCAATGTGACTTTAAAAAGATTTAAGGGGTCATGGTGAACAACGTGATTGCCTCAGGTAGCATGAGCTAATGCAAACTTTGAATGGATAAACAGGAAGAATGAGGATGCAATCTTTACCTCTGTGTGTCTTATGGATACATTTTTTCCAGATCAATGTGGATACTTCTGTGTTTCTGGAGTCCTTTCAAAATAGCGTTGAAAATCTGGAACAGGTACAGGGAGAAGCCTGTTAATGGACGTCTGAAGGAAGAAGGTCTTGCAGAATGAATCTTATGGAGCTTAGTGTGGTTAGCTCATGGAAAAGAAGAATGAGAGCAGACTTGATTATTGGAATCCAGAGAGTAGAACGCTGATTATTTTTTATCTTCCAAACTAATGCAGGAGGACGTAAACCCTGTAGTTGGAAGTAAAACAAGACAAGTGGGAAATAAGGTACCGATTCTAACAGAGAATGTGTTTAGCTGTTAAAATAAATTACCCCGTAGAGTGGTGGTTTCTCTAATCCATTCATGTCTTCAGAACAAGAGTAGTTGGAAGTCTGGAAGACAGGTTTTAATCAATTACAAAAGACTACTGTTCTAATATTTTGTAAACCTCTTAGGCACATGAAGACATTTGACAATGACAGGGTCTTACTTGTGTTGTTACTGTTCAAAAGATGAGCAGATGGAAGCAATGGAGGGATAAATGACTTGTTTATTTGTTGCAGAAGATCAGATTTTGAAATGCAGAAGCTTTAGGTCCTTTCTTCTAACCACGTATTGTAGAAAATACGGGTTATTAAAGATAAACTGTAATAGAAAGGATGCTGCCAGTATCAGACCAAAAATAGTACTGCACCTTGCCTCCAGTTGTCTTCACGTTTGTCAAGGGCGGTGTTCTTGCTGTTGCTGTAGGCTGCTCCAGGTATCACAGTCAATCACAGGACAAACTTGTGCAGCTTTCCCCACCCCCTTTTTGTTCCTGCTTGTCATGTTCCTGGACCTGACTGGTATAGGGACATCGAAGTGAATCCCAATTAATTCTTCATAAATCTTAAGTATTGTTACAGTGCAGCAAGGAGTGAGAGTGAGTTTTGTTATTTCTTTTTGAAGAGCATGAATCTGGGGAGAGAGCAGTCACATGGTTCATGTCCATGTAGTCAGCTAAATGCTACATGGCTGCTTTAGGCCTAGTAGAGACACCTTTATGTGGAAGCTGATCCAAGAGTGTGAGTTTATATTCAGTGAATATTTTGGAGCTTGCATGTTCTCCCAGGCATACAATCTCTTGTGAGGATTGGACTATAGTCTCCAGAGTACCATCTAGTGGCCGGTTAGCCACTTGAAAACTAATTGAAACACTTTCACGGATTCATTTGCTTGATGCAGGAGGAGTGTGATAAGGGAAGGATATTCAGGATTCAGGCTTAATTGGAATAAATGATTACATTCCACTATTCTAGAGTGTTATTTTCTGGTAGCTGTGTTGCTGTTTCTTTTTTAGCAAGATTTGGTCACTAGGTTTGGAAGTCATGGATGATGGGATGTCATAGGATGATGACTGTTTCAAGGCAAAATTTGATTTTAAACATATAAATTAACCATCCTGCACAGTTTTTAGCTGGTCACAGGCATTTATTATCACTCATCTGCAGCAGTATTTCCTTTCCTTAAGGCAAATTCCACCCCTCTCCCCACCCCTTTACAGAGCTGAACTGAAAGTTTTTGATGTGCTATCCTTCTAAGCTGGGTGGTTTAAAAGATTTTAATACACCTCTGCTATACTCTATAAAGCTACTGGTAGCAAACTGGTAGCAGGTTGAAGTGTAGGAAAAAAATATGTTTAAAAAAAGCAAATTTCTATGCAACTCAGCTGTTAATTAGAGCAACTAACATGACCGGCATGAGAAAAGAGTGAGAAGAGCAGCAGGAAAGGTCTGACTTTATAATGTGTGTGTTTGTATGTGTTTTCAGAGCTTTGTATTAAAAATAGTATCACATGGAGAAGAACTGGAATCCTAAGTGAAGGCCTCATATTTCCTGTGTTGTTTTGGCAGTGTGAAGACAAGCACTCACTATGTGTTCCCTTGCATGGGGAGTGGTGGAGCAGTTTGACTTAGCTGATCCCTTTAAAGAGAAAATCAAATTAAATTAGTGTAATGTGCTATATTGCAGGATTATTATACCTTTTTCAAGCTGTGAGCATATAATTTCAGACTGCATCCCTGTATGTTTTGCCTCTAGAGTTAATTAGCATTTTGAAATACTTCAGTATTAAGATTTTTTTTTGTGTCCATATTTTTGGAACGTGGTGGGAATTGTGAATGAATGAGATAATGAACCTTCAACTTTGTCCTGAAAATGTTGCCTTTATGTTGCCCTGAAGAGACAGAACTGAAGCACAGATAGTGAGAGGAGCTTGTCCTGTTATTGTCGTCACTGTATCAAGGCTATAAATAAATGGAAGGTAACTAATCTGTCAGTTCAGCACCTTTTCTCGATTAAAATTGATGAGAAAGTATATGGGGAGAGAAACCGGCAACAGCATTCAGTATCCTAACAACTTTGTAGTAAAAAACAAGCACCAAATAAAAGAATGAATGATCCTGGCATCAGTGGTACGATGTTTTAATATGAAGCCGAATGATCTTTCTTTCAGTTTATAAAACAGATTGTAATGCAAGTGCGTATTCTAAGATAATAAGCTCTCTTTCCAAGCATAAATTTATTAGAAGTTGTAAATAATGCTGAACCACTTGTATCTAAAATTTAATTATACTGCATCGTTTTCCTTTCCAGCCTTGCCTGCAAAAATGGTCTTGGCAGCATATCCACATTTGATTAATCTGATTTTGCTTTTCCAGAGTGGAAGGAAATGTGCTCTAGAGTATCTTGGAAGCAAACTCACAGTCCTGTCAGGTAACCCATGGCCATGGTTTTTCAGTCCTCGCAGGTTTTTTATTCTGTCATCTCAAATGGCCCTACACCCAGAATACCGGTCTGAGTTGGAAGCTCTTCAAGCTGAGAATGGGGAATCAGTGTTGATCCTAGACAAATGTACAAATCTGTCAGATGGGATCCCTACTGTTCGCAAACGCTGTCACAAGAGTCAAGTCTTTGATTATCCTCAAGTACTTCAGGTAAGGCTGCCTCTCCTGCAAGCTTCTTTTCTGCTTGGTGACTGTCTTAGTTATGGAGCTGTTCCTATTTAGCACATTAGTGTTGAGTACATTTAGTATCCAAATATAAGGGCACTTCCTTATATTTCAGTTAACTCGCTGGCTGTTTTTTTTAAGTGCATAGTTTATGATGTTAGCTTGGATATTATATCCTCACTTTGTTCTTACTTGTATGAGGGCTGAGAATTATGGAGTCAAATATATAGACTACACTGCAATTTGAAATTACTGCGCATGTGTAGCAACTTCATGAGGCTGGACATGATGATTTTCTAGGAACACTGACAACATCATGTAAACTTAGAAGATGACGTGAACGTGCCGCCAAATCTAGTGGAACTGGGAGGAGGAACTTTTGGTGGCCCGATGAACTCATTCATTTGTGCAGGAACACTGGAATCTACACCTTCCAGAATAACTGGCAAAGTGGCCTTCAGCAGGCTTGAATTTGGAATTGATTTCTCATTTATGGCAATGCAGGCCTCCTTAGCTGAAGCTTGGAACAGAGGGCTGCTCTGTCAATTGGAGGGAAGATGAAAATGAACTTTGAAGAGCTTATGAGTAGACTTGTTTGGGGAAAAAGAACTGTGTATTTAATGAGAGTTGATCAGGTTATATTTTTGCATGCAGCTTACTGGTTAAAACCCTACAGAAATCCCCGTATAGATACGACAGACCGAACTAGAAGACTTGTCAGCATGCAGCTATGAAAACATCTAGGTGAAATGTGTTTGATGGCCTTGGCCCAACTTCCAGAGGCCTTTTGATGTGTCAGTGAAGATAAAACTAGATAGCGTTCTCAGACCCCTGTGTCTCTTGGCAATTCACGAACAGAGAGGTGCTTTGGCATGCAGTGTAGTGAAGTGAGTTATGCCATAGGCCACTGTGCTGTCTGTGGCCACCAGCACATAATCTGTCTTTGAACTTCAACAAATGATGATAAAATAACAAACATGCTGAGGAAAGGCAAAGTTTCCACCCCTCCTGTTATGTTTTGGAGGAAACATGTTTAAAATTCCATGTGGAGGAGGGGGAGCGGGAGGAAGGGGTCACCCTGAGTCCTAAACTTTCAGCCAAAAGGAAAAAAAAAAATATTTGCTTTATTTCTTTAAATGCAGACTGGCTCGCTCAAGGATAGCAAGTAAGGGGATCTATATCTATATCTCGCTATATATTATTTTATAACTCAAAAAAGAGCTGGCACATGCCGAGATTGTTAAAATACTTTCCTTTGCAGAGCCCTGCATCTCCCTTTGGAATGTCTGGCTGATAACAGTAGTGATGTGAGGAGATGTATTTATAGTAACCTTTGTCTAGACAGGAAAAATGGTTATCTGGGCAGATGAGCATGTGTGTCCACATCTGGGCTGCTTTTTTTTTTTTTTAATCTTCTCCCAGACCTTACCAGGGTCTCTTCCACCTGCTGCCCTGTGATCTACTGAGGGAATGGTTAAAATGTGTGTTGATTCTCTCCTCTCCCTCCGTTCCCCCTGCCGTTCTTTTGCTCCTCTTCCCCTTTGCCAGTGGGGGTATGGAGGGGAAGCCTGAGGACTGCGATCGCAGTTCATTCTTTACACTTTCTTGGGCTTCTAATGCTAATGCTAATGCTTCCTGTTTGCAGTCTTCTCTTGGATGAGATTTTTCTAACCCTTTAGTACTCTATAGGTATGAACGTCGGTTTCACAGTTGCATGAGGAAACACAGCCAGCAAACCCCCTTGCGTTTCCTCGTTTTGATGTTGTGTTGCCCTGCTGTGCCTCCTGGCTCTTTTCCCTCTGACTGCAGAATGCAAGATGGAAAGGTGTTGTTGTTATCTGGGGGAGCCACCATATAAACTTTATACTTTTTCTTTCTTCGACTTAGGAATAATACTGGCTTAGGTTTTTTTGTCTGTTTAGCTAAACTCTACAAGCATTTATTTTGTCATTTTGAATCTGTAGCAAAGTTCCTTACTGACAGTGAAAGCTGAAGTGAGCATGCAGCATAGTCAACAAATCTTTCTTTGCTGCAGTATAAACTCATGGCTTTTTGTCTTATGTGCTGTGGACATGAATAAGCAGATTATGTTCTTCCTCTCTGCAGCAATTTTTTGTGTATTTGAAGCTCTCTTTAGGCATCTTCCCATTGCCCCTTCAGAATAAGTATTCTTGATGCGCTCAATCTTTCATTGTCGATAATACTTTCAAGATATGTAATCATCTGTGAGGTGTTTTTTTTCCTCTTTTTATTTATTTATTTGGGGGGGGGGGTCTTTTTTTCCTTACTTTCTTCTTGAAGTACGTAGCCCAAGACTGGACATGCTGCTGTGTCTGAGGTCTTACCGATTTTTAGCAGAGTGAATGATAACTTCAGGTCACTTAGTTTTTGCTTCTTTTTGTATTCTAGTGCAGCCTTTGGGTGGAGTTGTTTGTTTCCTCTTCAACAGCACAACACTGACACATGAAAATCCTTTATTTTCCTGTCCTTTTCTGCAAAATACCATTTTCTGCAAATTGCAATCAATTGTTTAATATTAGTTTTGTATTTGTGCAGATGATTATTTTTATCTAAGTTTTGAACCATATATGTCTGTATTTTTAGTCAGTGTTTCCCAATAATTTCAAATTCTAATCCTGTTGTCCATTAGGCTCACTAATCATCCTCCAAATTGTTGATATCATCAAAAATAATAAGCACTGTATTAATTCCACTATGCGGTTAATTGGGGGACACACTGAATAATGCTGTATCTAGGAAAGATTCTTTGGAACTGTTTGATCCATCACTTAATTTTGCCTATGAGTCACTGTTAACTGCTTTATATTTAGAGTTCTGTAATTATAATTCATGGTTCTCCCCATGAGGGTTTTATCTAGCCCATGATTTCTTAATTTGCTTGTGAGAATGTTATCTGAGATGATGTCAAAGGCCTTTTGAAGCTGAGATATGATATCTATTACTTCCTTGTTATCCATAGAGCCTGATTGTCTTATCGTGGGGAAAAAAATAGATTGGCTCGATATGATTTGGTTTTTTGGTAACTTCATGTTGATGATTGCTCACCTTGTTATGCCAAAATTTCAAAATGTTTGAGTTATTTTTCCCTGTGAATTTTCTCAATTAGAATTCTGAAGTTAGCCCATTAAAATAAGGCATAAAATTGTCCTATTAGCTAATTTCTTATCTTTCCACTTGTGAGGCTTATGAATCAGTAGCAGATGAAGTGGCATAATTAATTTAAATTTTCTGATAACTTAGCATACATTGGTAGCATGGAGGAGAAGCTTGTTTACCTTTTGGTTTGTTTTTTAATGAGAAGGGAAGCAGGGATGCGTTAATGCTACACACTTTACATTTCCTTCTTTTTGTTCTGTGTGTTGGATACGTTTGTTGACAGGAAGCTACGTTCTGTGTCGTTTTACGTGGAGCCCGCCTGGGACAGGCTGTGTTAAGTGATGTTCTTCAAGCTGGCTGTGTCCCAGTCATCATTGCTGATTCCTATATTTTACCTTTCTCTGAAGTTCTGGACTGGAAGAGGTCTGTATCCTAACTATTGTACATCCAGTACGTAAATAGGAAACTTCAGTTGCATTCAATGATGTGAATGGAATCTGTGTGATGAGTCAAGTTTACTGGGGATTGTGGTGAAGAGAACAGACTAGGATATGTGCACTCTGAGAATAGACTAGGATATGTGCACTAGGATATGCGTCAAAAATAAGAGAGGAAAACAAAGGAGGCAAAAATGACTGAGCATTTGGTTGCCTTGTGGCCCATAATAGTTTTTATAAAACAGATGTGCTTCGTTGTCCTATGCTTGCATTCAGTGATGAGTGATCTGCATTCACGCTCCTTTAAGAAAAATATATGCTAAATATTGCTTCACTTAAATGCTAAATTCACTGTATTTTGTGGTGATTCATATGTTCTGAGACTGAGAAATGTAATTGTTTTGTGGATGAGGGTACTATGTTAGAGTTTAGTTTATTTTTGCATGCATAGGCAACGCCCAGTATGTATGTGATCTTAGAATAATATAAATTATTAGTTTGTATGCATAGGATTGTATATGCTGTTATTGTTTGTTCTCTCCAGAAGACTTAAGGTCACAGTAGCTCAGCGGCAGTCCTGGGATTAGAATTCAGGAATTCTGTGTCTCAGTTTGTTCTGTATTTATTGCCTTTTTAGATCAGTTCACAGGCTTTTGTGGCATTACCCATAGGCAGACTGGCTGGGGGGGGTAAAGGAATTCCACTGCAACAGAATAACGATGCAGAGAGGAGACAGCTTCTTTCTTCTAAGATCTTCTGAATATATCTTACCAGAATAGGACAAGAATCTGGCTTAGAAGGGCCGTTGTAACCTTTTAATAGAGTAGAACAGAGTAGAATTTCTTTCTACTCATCTTACCACTTGTGTGGATTTTTTTGCTTGTAGGGCCTCTGTTGTCATCCCAGAAGAAAAGATGCCTGAAATGTACAGCATTCTACAAAGTGTTCCTCAGCGACAGATTGAAGAGATGCAAAGACAGGTAAAATAAAGTACTGTATTTAAATCCTTTTCCTTTATCCGTGCGTAGGATGTGGGTTTATATGTCTGCCGTAATGTGAAATCTGGTAAAAGGCAGCAGCATCCGTTATATTCTCATGGTAATGTTATGGTTATTCAGGCCTCTTCTTTATGCTAAACATATGCATTTACCATTACTTTTCAATATTTTGTCTGTACCCATCAGTGGTGCAGCTAAATCTGTTAAACAGCAGCTGTTGAGCAGCACTACATTACCCCTTAGGTCAGGAAGTTAAGAATACTGCATATGATTGCAATTGCAGAAGAACGCTTGAGTAGGCAGACTTCAGTTAGTCAGGACTGGAATTTTTCCAGCCTACTATGTTAATGCATATGCTCTTGTGAAGTATATTACAGGATCTTTAGCATCCACAGTGATGAAAGCCTCCCCATCTTGGGCTGCAGGAGATCTCCTGAAATGTGAAATTGAGGTTTTGAACACCTGCTTCCTCATGTAAAGATCGTATGGTATTTGCCATGGGAGTGGAGATTGCTGGTTCCCAACAATCTAGTCAAACTCCGCTTTCATTAACTTCACTTCATTCTCTTGTGTCAAATCTGCTTTCTTAATGTGTACTAGAATGGAAGCTCTTCTTCAGTGCAGGTTTACTGCCTACTTTTATTTATTGACATTTTTCTGATGAAATCACAGGGTATATTTGTTTCTTTTTATTTACATGGTATCTAAATTGTCTGGAAAAAAAAAATTCTTAAATTTTCTCATCTCTAGAGAAGCTTTGGCTTGTGGATATACTTTAAGCCATCAAACGTGAGGAACCTGTTAAGCATGAAGTACTTTAAATATTTAAACTAAGGTGATGATACCTATGAAGGGGGAGATTTTACTTATTTTGTGACTGGAAGATCAGAGGACCGGAGCTGTTCAAACTCCTGAATGAAGTCTGTGTGGTGGGTGTATAGTCGAAAGGAAACATCTTGCAGTTAATTCCAGTTGATGCTGTTGCCTGTTTGTTACTCTTAAAGCTTTGCTGCTATGAATGTTATCATCATCGGTTATTTTAATTCAGGAGTTCATGCATACAGTGCAGACTGAATAGATCAGCACTGTTAGACGTATGAGGATTTTCATAAAATGCAAAGAGTTTGCTTGTCAGATTGTAAGTACGACAGGATTCAACCACATTTTCCTTTTAGTGGTTTGAATAGGTAGATTACGTTTTTGGGGCTAATGGTGAAAGAAGATGCTAACATATCTTACGTTGTAAACTGATTTCTAGGGCCTTTAAGGACTGTCACTGTATAGTGCATGAGCATATCATTATAAGGTAGGAAGATATTGTTATCACAGTTTTACTGATGAGGAACTGAGGCATAGAGAAAGTAAGGGTTTGATGTGTAGGGGAAAAGTAAACTATCTGATCTCAGATGGTGTGCAAAGGTGTCTGGGATTCCTGTAGTGAGATTTCTGGAACTTGTGAAGACAAGTTTCTGAAACACCCTTGTGCAACTTCAGTGACAAAACTGTCTTACGTGTCATCCTTGTAAAAAGTGTCCCATGGCATGATTTCTCATGTTGTAATTTACAGCACTCTAGTATAGTTATTTCTACCCAGACAGTGCTAAAGTCTGCACAGTGTATATTCATGCTAGAGATGTGTGTGAAGAAAACGAACTGTCAAATGTAGTGGTAAATGTCTTTCATGTCTAAATTCTGTTGCCAGCTTCACTTGATTCTCTGTAGAAGGGAAAGTCTGCAAGTATCACAGCAGCCATCAGGGGTCTCCTTTCTCCTTAGTCCCTTCACACAAATGAACCATTTTGGTGGGGAACACAGACAGCATCTACTGAGCCACCATCAGGGATAGCAAGGGAAAAAATAGCTTCACAGTTACAGCTGCTAGAAACATGATTTGGCTTGATATATATATTTTTTCTCCCTTGTGAATCGAGGAATTCTAACACAAGAGTGTTTAGTATAAAGTATAGTTTAGTATAAAGCTTCAGAACTAACCTTAATAGTCTGTTTTAATGCGCAATGATTTTGTTGTTATCCATTTTACTAGTATTATAAAACATTGTTTAAGGATAGGGAGTGCTCCTTCTGCAGAGAAAGTGCTTTACATTGTATGCAGCTTAAACTATGATTTTGAAGTATGAAATCAGGAATCTACACTAGTCTGTTTCTTCTCCTTTACTTTTTCTTTAACATTCACAATTCTTGGACGCTTTTGAGACAAACTAGCAAAAAATGTTAGTTCAGGTGATCCGTAAGTTATCTTTATTATATCTAACTCTATAAAGTTAAGTTAAAGTAGAAGATGTTTTAATACCCAGAATGCAGTTTTAGTCTGCCTCTGGAGTGAATTTTGTTGGGTTATAGATGGTTTGCGCTAGTCATTGTCATTGATTCTAAAGCATCACTGAAGATATTAAAACTGTGATTATGTTGACCAAAGGTGAGAAGTATCTTTTACTAAAGCTTTCTCTCACATCATAATGCTTCTGAAAATATGGTTGTGTTTCAGTGGTGAGAATATCAGCATGAAATTCCAAGGTCTGTCTGCTTTTTTTCTCTTCCTGAATTTATTTCTGTCTGCATACTGAGGACACTTGAATGTGCTTTCTATACATTTCATGTGTTGTCAGCCTTATTTACAAGGTGGAGTCCCAGAGCAAGCATCTGTGAAATCCGCTTGCTGATACATGGCTCTGTATCCTGGAAATCTCGTAAGATGGAAAAAGTACTTACTGATTGATATTACACTATTGGCTATCAACAACTCAATTGCTTTTCTTCATTAATAAATATACCATAACATTCCATCTGTGCTGCAGCTTTTTGTTTCCTTTCTCTTCATCAGTGTCCAAGTCGGGAGCAATTGCATGCTTTAAAAGCATAATTAACTTTCTTCTGATTGACATTGTTTTGGAAAGTATCTTGGAACTCTTCATCTAGCCAAAGTGTCCGTTTTTCAGTGTCCTGACTTCACTTCAGTGACATTGTACAGGAATTAATGAATACAGACTCACAATATAGAGCCAAACTTTCTCTAGGAAAAGAGAGGATTCCGAATTGGGAGGAACCTATTGATGTGGCTGGTAGTAACCGTAGATCAGAAGCAAAACTCATTTGTGATAACCTCTCTATTTAGTTCCTCAGACAAGGAAGTACTAAGTGAAACTCAGCTCATACACGTTTACAGAACAGCTTTTTTCAGATGTGAGCTACAGCAGTCATTATTACTGTTTACTCTGCTTAGCTATGGTAATCAATAGAAGCTTCAAAATGTCTGTTTTTGCAAGTAAACCATATTTCTCAATAACATTTAGACTATTTTCTTCTACTGCTTCAAGTTTGAGGGCTAAGCACACTTTAGATACAATATCTTGATGCTTGTTTTTCGTCAAGTGGAAGACGACTGACGTGGGCCTTGTGGTATGTTTGTTTTCCCGTCTACTCTCATTTTCACCAAGAGCTATTCATACCTAGATGGAAACAAAGATACTCAAATCACAGTGATTGTGTTCTTTCTTGCGTTTACATTGTAAAACACTTGGAGTTTGATTTAATGGTTGAAAAAAAGATTGGACCATATCTGATGTTAAAAATGAGGAAAAAATGATCTTTGTAAAGAGCTTTGATTAAAATTGATATGAAAATTGTTAGTGTTCTGTAACACCTTACTGTTTCCTTAGCAGGAGGTGGGATGTGTTTAGATTTTATTCTGAAAACATTTTTTTTCATACCACATATATTGCATAAAATCCCACTGAAGGAAGCATTATGTTTTTGATAAGGACTCAGGAAACATGCTTCACCTGCACCTGACACTTAATGCACTTTTTCAGTAAATTAAGAAACCAGCTGACCTGTTCGGGCTCACATATGGTTGAGATTGTCCTCTTTTTAGCCAAGCACAACAAATTCTTGCTCTAAATTTCTTGGGGTTTTTAGTAGGATGAGCCATACTTCCATTGTACCTAGCAGACTTTCCAGGTCTGTTAATCTTCTTGGGTAGCTTCACTACTCAACTTGTTTTGGATTAAGTGGCTACCTTGATTACAAAGTAATTTTTATCCTTGTTTGGAAAACCTCGCAACTAAAGCTTAAGTTTTAATCATCAGTGTTAACAGTTTTGCAGTATTCTGTGTTGATTAGCTACTCTATTTGCAGTATTTTATTGCATTTCATTCCCTGGAGATCTTTAACAAGTAAACTTTATCTGTGCTTAATATTTATTTTGTTTCTGGAAATACTTTTAGCCATATGTCTGCTGCAGAAATCAACGAGGCTTTTAAAGGAAAGTCATTAAATTTATCATATAAAATAAGCTGTATTTGAAAAGGCTTTCCTATAGTTTGACTGTGAATATCACACCACTGCTAGCATGAAGAGGATAAAACACAGGCTCTTTAGCCCTGGAGTCATCGTGTCCCAGGATCTACTGCTGGTAGACTTTATTTTGCACAACTGTCCAAAAGTTGGACAGTTTGTGGTATAAATCGGGAAAAAGAAGCAGTAGTATTTATTGCTTTGAGCAGCGCTGGGATGTGGGAAACCTGAACTAACTTCTACTGCCCTGCGTTATACCTGATGGTGTTCAGATCTTAAGCAAATGCCATATTAATGTATGCTTTTATTGTTCTAACTTGCAGACGTTTTGCCCTCAATCACTCCCAGAAAATGTAATAGTTATTTCCTCCCCTGTGATCATACCACAGCCTGTGCTGTTGTGAAAAAAGTTACCCATTTTCAATATTGCGCGTGCTGACTACATCCGTGAAAACTAGAGCTTAGCATATGCTAGTTCTTAAAAACTCCAACACACTGACCATCAAAAAGAGCCTCTGCTATTTGAGCTGTTGAAATTAATAACAGCCTTGATGAAACTTATGCATCTCTGGGATTGCTGTCTTGTCTGTTTTGTACAGTAATGTTGTCATTCTCATTTTCTTTGAAGCTTCCTTGAACCATCCCCCTCTCACAAGTAGTTCCATATG